GGGAATATGCATGTTGATTAAATAAAACATATCAACCAAATTATCAAGTCCTAATTACTTATTTGTTATTTACTTTATTATTTTATAATTTATAATTTAATATTATACACTTTTACTAGGGCATATTTAATCCATGTGTATATTCCTGCATTAGCAATTTAATTTCCACATTAGTTTTTTAAGGCTACTTTTTCGTACAAAGCTTAAATCAATAACTTGATAATCAAAGCAAACATTAAGGATTGAAATGATAGAATTAAAGTTAAGGGACTAAATTAATAGAATTCCAAAATGTAAGGGATTAAAAGTTGCTTTATCCCAATTTAATAAAAGGAGAATTACAGCCAGCTCCCCTCAAAAAAATTAATTAAGATAAGGACCACCAACAAGTTCTATTTGAAAAAAAAAAACAATAATCCATTCGCATTTTAATAATAATTCATTTTAGTCTTCCCTGGCTTCCCTTGCTCATCTTTCTCGGGGCCTGGGGATAAGAAGACCAGTCATTTTAATAGCAAGGGGAAAATTATATAACAACAAATATTTAGATATTTAAAAACTTTACCTCGCGATGTCTGTAATAACTCCAAAATATAAAAAAAAAAATTGAGTGTATTTTTATAAATTTTGAAGTAGATGTTATAAGAAAGATTAGTAGTCATCTTCATGTTCCGTCACTGCAATTTTGGGTGGAGGGAGCTTAGATCTCCTCCCTTATTTCCTCTTTGCTTCGATGGTGTGAGCCAACTTTCAATCTCTTCCTCGTCAAATTTGGGTATGTATTGTGATTCGGGAATTGCCAAAATTTTGATTAGGAATTGATTGCTGAAATTTTGAAATTTTGCTTTATTATTGAACGTTCTAACAAGTTTAAATTGAAGATTAAGAATTTCACTTTTGATAGGTAACTATGTTATATATTTTTTGGTGGCCACTAAATGATGAATATATGTTTAGATTTGGTATTTCTTTGAATTTAAATTGATTTTAGTTGAATGAATGAAATTTGAAAAGTCTGGTAAATTTATATGGATGTTTAGAAAACTTTTGGGAAAGATATTTAAAGAATAAAATGGTTATTGTATGATTTAAGTTTGAATGCACATAAGGTATTTGATAATTGTTTGATCAGACGAAGTTAGTTTTTGGTAGTAAATGAATGTGATAAGTGTATTATTGTCGAGTTTATTGTTATAATAGGCAATTATTCTCTGTAATACAAGGATGAAAATGTAGTTAGAAAATTTTGAAGGTCAATAATTCAAGAACAAAGTTTGTTGTTTCTTCTGTTAGCTTTTAAGTTCAAACAGACTGGTTGATAAAATGTTTGAGGAATGAAATTTATGAAAATTAAATAGACACAACTGATAATATTAATTATATCATAATAGAAGTTTTTTATTTTCTACAGGCAGATTTGGAAACGTTGAGTGTTGTTTATATATTTGTCAAAGATTTATTAATTAAGCCCAATATAGCATTTTATTTGTGAAAGGTTGATATTAAGATTTTCTTTTTCAATTCTCTAAATTTGTTGAATTGAAGAATTTTGAATTTAAAAAGTGTATAAAAGAAATAATAATATTTGGACATTAGAGAATTAAAGTGCGGACAATTTAATAAATTATATATTTGAGAATATTATGATAAGTAGATAATATTTCAATTAATTTATCAATAATTTTTTTATTAGAATATTATTTTTCTTAAATAGATCATGTGTACTATTTCGAATATTGAATTATTTGTTGATTAAGGGCCTGTTTTTTTACCATTCTTAAAAGCTATTTTTTTATTTTAATATTTTTAAAACAAAAAACTTGTTTGGTTAATTATTTTTTAATTGTTGTTTTGAAAACAGTTTTTAATTTTTTGCTTTTAAATACAAGAAAACCAAAACAACTTTTAGTTGTTTCTGTTCCTATTTTTTTAATTTTACAAAGAAAAAGCGGGAATCAAGAAATGAGAATTGTTCTAATTAATGGCAAACGCTATAATTTTGTCTCGAAAAAATAGAATCACCCATCTCATAAATTTATAAAACTGTTTTTGGATTACTATTACTAAATAAGTTTTTATGTTTGTTCTCAAAAACAGTTTTTAAAATTGTTTTATAAAACAACTTTTGGAAACAAAAAATGAAAATGACAACCAAACAAGCCCTAAATGAGTTCCTAAAGTTATAGCATGTATGGTGAAAGATAGACAAATTTTTTTACATGTATGTACATTCTCATGCAAAAGATATTCTTTAGATTCAAGAAAATATTTTTACAAGTTTCAGTGATCTTTTATTTGATAAACATTGACAATCATGGAAATTATCCATGATGAAGAAATTTATAAGACAATTATGAATTTTCATATTGAGAATGATTGATATTTTAAATGATTCATGCAAGTTTGATATTGATAAAAAAAATTATACTTTTAATAGTAATTATTTTCTCGCATGTTTGAAAATGAATTTTAAAAGGACTATATGTAAAACGTTGATTGCTAATGATAATTTTGTTAGTCCTTAGTAGGCCATAGTTATAACTAGCTAGTTTAACTTTTCTGAGCGTCGCAACCACGTTTGTTATTCATGGGTTTCATACTTGTATTTGATTTCAAGGCTTTGAGTCGCATTTGGTTAGTATTATCCTCATAGACAATGCATTCACATTTATTTTCATCGTTGAGGCTGCGTTTAGTTACTTACCCTTGTGAACTATGTATTCACCTTTATTTTCATGGCCTAAATCGCTTTTGATTATTTACCCTCGTGGACTGTGTGTTCATATTTGTTACTTGTTCCGCAAAGTCCTTAGAATATTAGTTTTTAATTGATTTGTGAATATACACTTCATTAATTTTGAATAACAAATGTTACTATTTTTATTTATTTATTAATCTATTTTATTTCACAAGTATTAAGGTTGCTTTGTTATTATAAATTTAATAGTTCAATATTTTTAATGTTATATAGAATCTCTTAATCTCTAAGATCAGTGATTATATTATACCTAATGTTCTCTCTTTAATTTGTATATAATTACTTTAGTTTACTCATCTTGATTCTTTTAATTTTATTGTTGGGATATTTTTTACTAAAAAAATTTATTTTTGGTTTCTGATAATATGTTACTAGCCTTGTACCTCTAGTTGAACATTGTGGAGTTGATTAATGATTACCAATTGGGAATTGAAAACCTATTTCCATTAATCTTTATTTGTTGTCGAACCTAATTTTATATATTATAATTTATAAATTAAGTTCTATATGCTCTATGTAAACCATAAGCAGGATCATTACCTTATTGAGTGATGTCGCAAGACTTGTTGGCGTGGAGCAAGGCTCTTCTTTAATTAAACTGAGTTCACTTCTAAAAAAATTTTTCCCTTAAAAGATTCTATTTATAAAGAAGATTTTGTCAAAATTTTTACCAAAAATTGGCAACTAAAAATATTTAATAATATTGAAAGAATTCTATTCTATAACAGAAGTGCGTTTGTGGTTAAAAATAAGATGTTTTCCCTTTGAAGGCATAAAGGATGTGGGCTTTTACACATGTCCTGTACCAGTCATATCTTGATTTTTGGGAGTGACAATGTCAAAATCTCTTTCAACTTAATAACATTTTCATGTTGTAATTTCTTCAGAATTTTGAATTCACGAATAGCAGTTATAAAAAACTGCAACAAAAAAGCAAAAATTCAGGGAAGAACCTTGTGATACAAAATTAGCAGCAGACGAGAACAACCAATAATACTTTCTCAATTACGAAGTGTTACTTGAAATTCTCATCGTGAAAACATCAACTGGACTGTAAACAGAATTATCGTATGCACCCATAATAGAGCAAATAACATTCAGCAAGGTGATGGAAGAGACACACCCTCTCTCTCATTGTCCATTCTTATTTCTTCAAAGCAACAATGTCACCTGTTCTGATTTCTCTAGCCATGTACAAAGGTATAGATCAGTTCCTTCTTGCAGTTGCAGTGTCAGCAATGAAGAATACACCCAGAAACAAGATATTTTGGAGCAGAAATAGGCAAACAACTCTACCTGCAGGCTATAACTCAAGCATATGCCTTAAAAGGGAAATTTAAGAATAGAAAATATTACAAAGTAAGTAAAAAGTTCTAGCAGTGCAATTCTTACACCTACAACCCAAATTATTTTTCTTTGGGAGTTGAAACCTATAATAAGTAATTGGTGTCTTCCGATTCCAAATCTATAAGTTGGAACCTATTATGGGACATTTGATGCATTACAGATGTATGATCATTACTCTTCAAGGGTTATTCTATTCCACCTTTTAGAAAGAAAAGAACTTAAATCAAAATACTTAATACAGAACTTCTACCGTGAAACCCTGCCCAAGGATTGTGGCTGTTCGCCCTCCCCCATATTTAACAAAGCTATTGCAAAATTGTATACAGAACTGGTTGCATACACATGTACCAATTCTATAGGATTCCAATCATGATAAGTATCGTGAATCGGAAAGCGCATGTCTTAATTACAATCATAAAACATATCAAACTATAAGATTTAGTGACAACTGAAAAATAGCTTCAAATATAATAATGTTCCATATGTATCCTTGTAATATAGAGAAAATGCTAAAGATAATAAATCTGATTCATGAGTTAAGATGGTGAATGCAATAGACAACAAAACTCATCTAGAAACCTTTTAAATTATCAAGTAGTCAAACACCCCATCCAGCAACTAAATAAAACTTGTGAACTGAATGCAGTCCTCGAGCACAAAGGCAAAACATCACAAATAGACCTGATTTTGGGTTGGGATAAGGGCCTGACTTTTGCCAAATTTCAATGGTCCCGCACCTAAAGCGCTTTTGAGAACTCACATCAAAGGCCAATTTGGGTTGGGCTAATGGCCTGACTTTAGCCAAATTTCTAAGGTCCAACATCTAAAGCCCTCTTGAGAGCTCACAGCAAAGGCCAAATCATTATAAAAGTTCATCTGAAGGTGGTGAAGGGCAAAGGACAATTAGATTAACATAGTTAACATAGTTTATTAAGGTGCTTGGTAAGTTATAGCAGGGGTCAAAGACAGTTCTAAAGAGTACAGACAAGTTTTTTAAGGTTTCCAATGTTGTTAAAGGCGAAAGGCACACTGAAGGCGCAAAACGTATAAAATGCCTTAGGCGCAAGGCACTAAAAAGGCATGTGCCTGAACGAAGGAAGGCGCTACCATGTGCTGTAGACTCTAGGTGTTGCCGCTTTGGTCTGAACTTCTAAGGGGTCATAATAGGTTCTCTTTTATAACCTAAAAACTATAAGTTAGGGTTAAACTTCCTAAAAATTTTCCCAAGGTCACAATAATTTCTGTGTCAAGTTTAAGATTTCAATCAAAGATTATATCTTGCAATAAATTTAAATCTTTTCTATTATGTAATTGTCCTCCCTTATTTTAAATTTAAATTTTCTCTATTTTCTAAGTTATATCATATAACTCTCCATATTTTATATCATATTTTAAAGGGTTATTTATTAAAAAAAGAGCAAACTGATCATCTTCTTCAATACGCTACCCAATAGCAATTGATTAAAGTAGTCAATGTTGTCCTCATCTGCTCTTCTTCCAAATCCAATCAACATCGTCCTCGTCCTCACCTTTTTTTGTTCTTCAAAACTCAGTTCCAGTCAGTCATTGTCTTCTTTTCTTCAATACCCAGTCCTAGTTGGTCGCCTTCGTCTCTTCTTTAATGCCCAGTGATCGACCGTCATCTACTCATCTTCTATTCTCTTGTTCTTCAACTCGCTTCAACCAGGCGCCCTCAAGCGAGCGCCTTTTGTTAGTGCAAGGCGCACAAGGCACTTTCAGGCGAGTGCCTGACTAACCCCATCACCTCTCTTCATGCGAGAGGCGATGAACCTGTTTAGCGCCTCGCCTTTGTGCCTTAGGTGCTCGCCTTTAACCACACTGAAGGTTTCACAAAGTTTTATTGATTGGCCATAAAATCCTATCTGGTCTTCTCATTAAAAAGGTAAAGGCGTGATCTTTCACCACTCATGGGTGCCATAAATAGATTTATGGCAAGACTTTGGCAAACTAGGAACCGCCAACAACAACCACAAGCCTAGGTGGGTAAGCTACATGGACACAACACTATTATACTCTATCAACAACAAAATCTTGGGATATATTGTTAACAAACTATGAACTGCCAGTGCAGACTTTTTATTTCACTGGTTGCATTTCTTCACTATCATTATTCATCATGTAGGAAGTCCTGTCAGTGCTGTCATATGGCATGTAAACTGAGGCTAGAGCTTCTATACTGAACAACATAATAGACAAGTACACAGCGCCAGTTACCAGCTAGCTAAGAAAGTTTAGCCACTATGATCCACAAATGACTAAGCGTCTGATAAGTTGAAGTTTAAACAATATATATTTACAAGCCCCCATGTAAGTCACCAAAGAAATAAGAAAAACGATATTATGATCAAACATAAGCTGCTGCCGACAACCATAAACACATCACACCAACATAAAGAAAGCAAAAGCAAAATCGGAACAGATGCTTAAAAAAATTAAACTATGAAGCATTGCAAAACTAAGAAACAGAAATAGCAATTAACGAGTACAGTGATACTGCATGAAGGAAACAGGGAAAAAAAATTAAAACTAACCCATGAGTTCCCTCGCCAATCTGCTCCAACTTTTCCAAGCAATCAACACTTCTGGATCCCCATGAAGGATACTCATCAAGGTTCAGCTGGCGCGATAGCCATTGCTCCTAAACCCAAAACACGTGTTCGAATTCAAGAACAAGGAAACCTAATTAAAAAAAAAAAAGAACCACATAACAGAAGTGCAATAACAGATGGCCGATCAGGGCTTTTCACCACCGGAACAGTTGGAGAAAAACCACATACCAGAAGCGCAATAACGTTGGAATGAAACAAAGTCGACACCTTTCGAGAAAGGCAACGTCATATGCAGCGGAGTGGTGTTTAAGGAATTGAATTGGGAAGAATGAAGTATCTGGATCGATGAAATAGAGAATTGGGAAGAGTGAAGAGTTTAACCAAACGATATTAGCGGCACGATGAATCAAATGCGAGTTTCAGTTGACTCCATGAACCATCTCTGCCCTCTCAACAACGATTCGAACACTTCAATGCAAGCTATCACGATTATGTCCGCAGCGTTGTGGCCGATAAACTTGCTGGATCGTCTGGGTTTCTAGGTTTTACGATTCTATAGCCTCTTGCAATTTTGGAGGATGCCGTAACTTGACTAAGATTAATACTCTCAGGATTATTGTTCCTACTCTGTAATCTTCTGTTTCCTTGGAAGGTTTTCACTCTGTTTGTTATCAACCAATTTTTTTTTAGAAAAAGTTATTTGAAAAAAAAAGGAGGAATTAAATTTGACTGAATAAAAATAAAAATAATAAAATTTAATTAAAATATATAAATAATGATTAAGTATTTTAAAATGTTATAATTCATCTAAAGTTTTTGAGTATTTTTCTGATATTAATAATTTTAATTTAAAAGATTAAATTATTTTTTATTTAAAATAAAAATAACAATTTAACTTATTTTTTCAATCATAATTTTTATTCTATAAATCATAAAAATTGAATAAAAATTATAACTTTTTATATAAATTTTTTGTGTGATTGATAAATAAATTTAAAAATAATTAATTCTAATCATAATTTTTATTTCAGAATTATAATTTTAATCTTGTGAGTTGAAAAAATTAAATAATAAAATAATAATTTCTCACATAAAATTTTTTTTATTATTGAAGTTCAAATTTTAAAAATAATTAATTATAATTTTTATTCAAGTAATTAAAATTTTTATTTTAAAAATTATAAGAATTGATTGAAAATTAAAATTTTTTACGTGAATTTTTTTTATTATTAAAATTTAAGTTTTGAAAATAACCTATCGAAACTTTTATTTAAACAATCACAACTTTTATTATATAAATAATAAAAATTAAATATGAAATTATAACTTTTCATATGAACTTATTATTAAATAAGAGACAATTTAATTATTTAATTTAAAATTATTAATATCAAAAAGACATTTATAGATTTTAAAAAAATTATAATATTTTGACTTGATTGTTTTTATATATTTTAGTAAAATTTATTGTCATTTTCTCTTGTGAATATCTATTTTTATTAGGAAATATCTGTTTCTTATATATTATATAATTCATAACAAATATATATGTACACTAATGTTGGTTTATAATTAAATCAAAGGATATGAATATTACACGCGCGCACGTATGCATATACATATACATACATATACATACATACATATACATATATATATATATATATAAATGACCCTTGGTGAACAATTTATATATCACTTATTATACAACAAATTATTTTTATTAATATTATGAATAAATTAAATTTATATGTCTTTATTTTATAATTACATAAAATATATTAAGTAAGTAAATTTAATTAGATTTTATAAAAAAAATAACTATTTTTGAGTAACTTTTATACTCAAAGAATGTAAGCGATAAATACTTTCAATTTACATGATTAATATTTGGACCTCATTTTTAAAATATTTAAAATTAAAATTTGTGTGAAAATCGCATGATTAAAATATTTTTTTAAGAAATAAGTATGTATTTGCCAAAAAAATAAATATACAAACATATGATGCTTAGAGCTGAAAAAATAGTTTGACCTAGAAAACGACCAAAATTTGAAGAAGTTATCAAGCCTTTTGGCTTGACTCTAGATGGCCATTAAAAAAAAAACATACACAAGCGTTTTGATTATCAATATCTAGTCATCTTTTTCAAGAAAATAAAGCTGAAATCTAAATCTATCCATCATTTTTTTTTTTTGCATCCATATATCTGTTTCTTATATATTGCACATATAGACATATCTAGAATATTAATTAAATATTTCATCCATTTAAAAATATAAGATAATTTTAATTGAATCTCAACTTTCAATAAAATAGTTACTTGTCTTTAAACTAACCATATTTTTTCATATTTACCTCTATTAAACACTTTAAAAAATAAAGTAATCTATTCAATAGGGACATTTTTTGGAGAAAAAGGCCATAGTTACATCTTAAAAGACTCAAAACACTTTATATTTTTTTAACATTCAACTCTTTAAAAAATATTTTATATTTTTTAACAGAAGTAGTATAACATTTATATTAACAGTGAGAGGTAGAGTGCGGCTAGAAAGCGATAGCTAGAGCTCAGATTGAGTCTTCAAATTTCATATATGAAGGAGCAAAGGTTAGGCACAAACAGATAAGGGGTGAGGGGTAGTGAGAGTGTAAGAACTTTAGTTCAAAGCACAGCTTCACTAAGACTAAAGTGGACTATTACGTCCTATATTGGAAAGACTTAGGAAAAGTATTGAGCATATAAATAGATGCACTGCATTGAACTAAGTTTTTGGGAAAAGAGTAATTGCCTTGTAATGGGACGCTTTGAAGAATGAAGGGAATGTCTACTCTTTGGAGTGGAGTTGTGCGGCGCTAATAATCTCAATCTTCATATTAGGTTCAGGAGTTGGATCAAAATTAAATAACCTAAGGACAATGTGATAAATATATAATTATAAATTAAATATAAGTAAAATCCATATAATTAAATATAAATGATTAAATAAGCCCGGCCTATGAGCTTACTGGCCTAATCTGTTTAGCTAAACAAGCTTTTAGAATAAGCCCCTTTAGTTAAACAAATCAGGCCGTAGGCTGCCTAATAGAGGTCTAATCTATTTCCATGCTTACTCACAGTATAGATCACATTGAAGTTGGTGAGAAGAGAGCAAATGTCTTTTGCAATCATTAAAGCCTCTAACTAAAGATTACAAAGAAGTTTGGCCAACAAAGGAGATTGAGGTCTTGAGATCGAAGGTCCTCACTAGTAGCCTAGCAGGAGTTATAATCAAGATCTAGAGTAAAGTTGAATGAAGATAGAGAATCTCAAAATCTCTCGTGTAAGTAGTTCTGCGCTTAAACCATGCAAGCATGACAACTTGTCGCCTATCCTTAAGAATTAAGATTTTCAACACTATAAATAACTCTTATTTTTTCTTGGATCATATGAAGCTCCATCCATCTACTTAAAAATTTGGAAGGCTTCTTTTAATAACAATTACAACCAGGCGACTTCATCCAATGTGCATATATATGCTTTAGAAAGTAGTACAAATGATGATAATTTTAAATGGCTTTGCAAATATCAAGCTTGTGACCATCATGAATGACTAACTTTTCGAGCTTTCAAATACCATGGATTAAAATTACAAATCTTTCTAAGAGATCAAATTTTCTATCTAGAAGAAGATGCTTGATGAAATCCTTCAGAAAATGTAGATAGCTTGAACAATCAAAAAAATCAAATTTCAAGGACAAAGCATAATGGCTAGGTTATCTAAATAATGCAATATATTAATAGTGGCAACTGCCATTATCCCTTTATTTTACTGACAACTCATTCAGTTTATGAAACTAAAGGCTGATTTGATTCTTTTTTTTTTTAAGGTATCCTCACAATCAATAACCATGAGACTAATTCCTCAAATAATCTTAATGTCATTTAAGGGGTTGTTCTCTCTCAAGTTGTACTCTACATACACACTTTTAAGAATTGAATTCTGAAATGATGTTTAATGAACTTAGATTTTGATGAACCTAGACTATTACCATCTGTGCCACACCTACTTGGGAGGGCCCATATGATTTAATTGCATATTTGCAAATGAAGAGAGAATGATTAGCATGGGGTGCGATGCAATACACACTATCCGTCTATTTGGTTTGATGTCAAAGAATGTGATGGAAAATCAATGGGAGTTAGGCCTAATAAAAAGGATTGGTCTCTCATAACATAGCAAACTAAAATTCAAATCCTCGTTAAGATATGTGCCTACATTTAATACCTGATCATGCTTCAAACATGATTACCTTTAATAAAAGAATATCTATGAGCAATAAAAAAAAGAGAATGCAGTAGAAAATTTTATTTTTATATTTTATCATAGAAAAAAAAATTAAATGTATACTTACTTCCTTCTTTGCCCTCTTTCCTTCCACTTTCACCATCCTTTGACCTCCGCTATTGCAGCAATAAGCTAGCTGTCCACACAATCTCCTTTTTATTTTTAACATATTCAACATTCAAATGCAACACACAACATACAAATTAGATCTAAAATTCAAATTTTTGCTTTTTCGCCAAACAATGTGAAGAATAGATCTAGAACAAAAATTTAAAAACTCGTCAATGACATGTGTGAACAACCAAGGATCAAGAGCAAATATGACTTTCCAAAGATTGTAGAGGATAGTAATTACCATGGTAAAAGACTTTGAGTAACCAAACACAATTTTCAATAGTAATGGGATCTCCATTACCATGGATTACCATTGTAGGGTTGCAATGGAATTGAACCAAATGAGCTGTATATGTGGAATACAATATACGTGAAAATTAAAGGAAGAATAATAGTAAAGTCTCAAAAGAAGAAATTAATAGTTGTTAGGTTCCAAACATGAATTTCAATTGTAAATTGAGAGGCACATTTACAATTTAAATATCTTGTTTGCAATTTAAACTCCTAAATTTGCAATTATTTAAATCTATATTTATAATTTATTTTTCAAAAAATTTTAATAAAGATTCAATTGTTATTAATTTCCTCTTTTGAGATTTCACAATTATTCTTTCAAAATTAAAGCATCCGATACTGCATCTTACTGATGCCATTTTAGCCAACAATGGTGGAATAAAATTTGGCAACACCTATAAGGACAATAAGAAAATAATTTCAACTCAATAAGAGACAAACTTAGTAAAGGTAATAAGAGTTTATTCCACCCATCCATTTGCAATTCATGGTAATTAATTGCAAAAATAACTGAGATATTATCTTCACATTCCATTGTATATATCTTATATAAATACACAAGACTATTTGAAACACAATGCATTTACTAATAATATAAAATCATCGCCCTCCATCTACAATCTCAAAGGCAATTTGCTTTTGAATTCTAGCATAACTTGAAACTGAAATACTTGTACTAGCACTCCCATATCCATCATTAGGAAAATGACCAAGTAAGTGTTCACTTTCTTCTACCATCATATCCTTCTCCTTTTCTTGAAGATTTTTTTCCATCGCTCTTAGACCCTCTAATTCCATTGCTACTTCCTTCATTGTTGGCCTTTCCTCTCCATTAACTCTAATGCACCTTTGTGCCAATAAGGCTACTTCCTTCAATTGTTTTGCATTCTCCTTTTGGTCTAGCA